TCTTTCTTTCTTTTTTTTCTCTCTCTCTCTCTCTCTCTCTCTCTCTCTCTCTCTCTCTGTCTCGCTCGCTAACCTTTTGGAACCTTGGCTCAAGAGGATGCACCACCAAAGGTCGAATCGGCACTTGAGCGCGTAACCCCAAAAAAACGCGACAGCGAACGCTGCAACGCGCCCTCTTTGGGTATCCAAAAATGGCCCCAACTTTGACCCTAAACTCATTTACTCTCCCACCAATTAGCATGGACCCTGACAGGGGCCCAATCCCTTTACAAGAAAAATGGTCTTCCAGGACCCCTCATCATTGCGTTTCTCAGTCCACCCCTCCGGACCGCCCCGGCTCCCAGCTCCCAGCTCCCGCCTTGCAGGCGTCTTTGGGCATGACCCCACCGTGGAGCGCCCCAAAAGGGGCGCCTTTGATTTCTGTAGAGCCAGGGAAGCCAAAGCCGGATCTCGGCTCTCCGCGCGGGTTGGACATCCAGCCCTGCGGTACCCAGCTCTTTGGCATCGTAGGAATGTTGGCGCGGAAAAGCAGAGGTTTGCCACACGCACGCGCGCACACACACAGATACATATATATATATACATATATATATATATATATGTATATATGTATACATATATATATATATATATATTTATACATACACACATGGCGGTGTCCGAATCGACCAGGGGAATGGGCACAGGAATGGGTTGCGCCAAACTCCCATTCAATCATTCAATAGAAACTTTGTACCTGGCAAAGGGACGCCCAAGGAAACAATCCCCAACTGTCCTGGAGGTTTGATCATCTTTTTAAGGCTCGGACCAGCCTTCCAAGCAAATGCCATGTATCTTCTTCCGCTTCAACGTGAGCGCCAGTTCGGCGGAGACAGGGTAGGGTATACTTTGAGGGGCGCAGGCCCTGCACAACTTTCTAGAACCGGGGGCCCCTTCCCACCTGGTGTCGCAGCGTGGCCCTAGAAGCTAACTTTCCACAAGCGGTGGGTGTGCTAATCATGTTTGGGCATCCAAAGGCTGGAAATGAACCGCTGTTGGAAGCGAAACCAAGCCCTTGCAACTGTCTTTATTTTTTTCTGCTGGGCTCCCAGCGAAAATAGGGAGAAAAAGAGAAGAAGAAAAAAAGAAGAAGGAAAAAAACGGCTTCCTGCTCGCTTTTGTTTTTAGCCAGGTTACTGGGCAACTGGGCAAGAAGGAAGCCACACATGTTTACCTATATGCCCCTGGTCTGTCGTGTAGGGCTCGCGCCCTGCATGCTCCTCCAAATCCAGACTTTGATTTTTAAAGGATCAACGATGGTCGTTCGCCTTAAATGGGAGAACTACTTTCCCACCTCCAAACCACTGGTGAAAATTACCCAAAAGGTACGATAAGCTTTTGCCCGAAAATGGGCCGTCATGTCCTTTGAGGCCGACTGGGCAACACTCTGAGCAATGACCCCGGATTGATCAACCTAACGGATTAAGAAGAGCGGGGCTTTTGCACTCCCCTCTCAAATGGAACATGAATTCACCCCCTTCACTTGCCCCGGTTGGATTTTGGTTCACCGTCAGTCATCATTCAACATGGGTTTCTCGCTCAAGACCCACGGTTTCAACCTCAAGAACCTGCAAGCACACGGCTTTCCACTTGCTACTTCCTGTGTGGATTTGCCCCAAAAACAAAAGTCTAAACTTGCTGCTTGTCGCCAAGCCAACCTTGGCCAAATGGCCGTGGGTCAAAACCAATGGTACCATTTTGGGGTAGCTGCACCACCCATTTTAGAACCTATTTTAGTGGGGATTGGGATGTTCATTGGGGGCTAACCGGGGTTTTGACCCATGGACAAAAAGTCTTCCGCCTGTCATCCCAGCCGCTGCCCCAGCCTTCCCACCGCGCTCCTTCAATTTTTCCTCCCGCCGCTGTGTCCGGCGAGTCATGCAATGCGGGCTCTCCTGCACAGAGGCGTCGGTGAGCGAGAAGAGCTACCCCCTAAACTCCCGAAAAAAACAAAAAAAAAGCCCTAGAATGGAAACACACCCTTCGGAGATGTTCAGGAGAAGAAAAAAAAGTGGCCCTCAATTGGGGCCACACAAAAAAGGTTGTTACTCACTATCAGGCCCTAATGGCCTAACCAAATCTGCAAGGTGCCCCTCGCGGCCCATGGATCGGCACCGAGTCATTTCCAGCAAACAAATGGCTGCGTCCCCTTCGGGTGTCCCTTTTTGAAACTGCTTCAAGGAAAGGAGAACTTCATGTTGCCACATCCGTGTGTGTGTGTGTGTGTGAACTTCTTCCCTTCCATGTCGTCGTCCACGCCCCTCCTCCTCCGCACTCACACATACTTAATCCCGCTCACTGAACTTATGCCCACTGGCTTACACATACTTGCTCTCACTCACTCAACTTACACTCACTAAGTTGCGTTTATTCTCGCTCGCTTAACTTACGCGCACTAACTTACACAGTCAACTTACACTCACTGAGTTGTGTTTATTCTCGCTCAGTTAACAACTTACGTGCACTAACTTACAACCACTCTCACTCTCACTCATGCAGCTTACACGTACTTACTCTCACTCACTCAACTTACACTCACTGACTTACAACCACTCACCCACTTCACTTGCATACATATACCTGCTTGGCAACACTCGCACTCTCACTCTCACTCGAACTGACTCAGCTTCCTCACACTTCTTCGCACTCACTCAACTTACGCTCACTGACTTGCAACGCTCTTCCTCACTCGACTTACACATACTTGCTCTCACTCACTCAACTTACACTGACTGACTCATGCATACTTATTCTGTCTCACTCCACTTGCACTCACAATGTCTCACTCATGCTTTCTTCTACTCGCTCAACTTAGTACGTTGGACCCGCTAAAGCTGGACTTTGTGCTAGGAGCAGCACTCCAGACTGGTCGGCACGGAGCTGTCGGCTTCGGGCGGAATGCTGGTTTCGTGGAAGACGCAGTACTTTAAATCTGCTGAAGCTGGATTTCGTGGCAGTCGCTCTCCTCCGTCGTGAAGCCGCTCTCTTCTCCCTGTTCTGCTCCTCCTCCTCCCGCGTCCTCCTCCTCCTTCTCACCCGCTCAAGTTACACATACGGGGTCAGCCGGCGCTTTGATTGGGAAAACTCAGAACTTTATTGGCACGTGTGCGATGGGCTTGCAACAAACCGAACGTTCGAGGAAAAGCAAATCTTCAGCTATCATGTGCCTAGATCTCATTCGCAACGGCGAAATCTGGATGGTCGACAAGCATGATTTCCAATGTCTTACAAGGCGCAATGCATATAATCATGCATGTTCGATGCCTGGCGGCATTCTGCAACTCCGGGGGGGGGGGGGAAATCAGGAACCCCATCGCCAGCCCCGCGCGGATTTTTTTCGACGACCCCAATCGGTGAGCCCTTTGGGAGTTGAAACCCCCGCGCCGCTGTGCTCGGCGCCTGCGCTGGGGCGCCCAGGCGCCGGCACTCGGCTCTGGGCTTGGGCGGTTTTTGTATCTTTTGGCTTGCGCTCTCTCCAGCCGGCTGGAGCCAAGGATTCTCTGGGGCTGTTTACTATTTGAAACTGTTGTGCACCCCGGCCCCCGGCCCCCCACGCATGGGAACCGCTAGCCCCCCTTCCAAGAGCAGCCCACCTAAAAACCCAGGGGATAGCATCCCCGCGTGTGCGGATCCACCCCGTGAAAGTGGAAGGCATCCCCAAAGCTCTCTTGGCCTGGAGACTTGCCCACCCCCGACTCCTCAGGGCGCCTTGGCCTTTGCCTGGCGAGACAACCAGCTCTCGTGAGGATCCTTTCCAGCCGAGGCTGGTGCTTTCCACAGAAGGGGCCAAAGCCGAACACACGCAAACAACAACCACTGCGACAAAGCACCCCTTCTGATCAAAGGTCAAAGGGGCCTTTGGAATGCTCTGTCAAAGGCTGGCGATGCCTGATTGCAGCGCCAAAAAAAAGATGCACTCTGCGCTCCACTGGCCTTTGCCAAGTGGCTGTAGCCACCACTTCGCCTTTATGTTGGGAGGAAGACCCGGGCATGGAGCACAACGCGATCCGGGCGACTCTGGAGAAACAAAGGGGCTTTCGCAACATGGGAGAAGTAAAATGAGCATTTGCCACCGGTGAGGTCCTCGCAAAAGAAGGCAAGTTGGGCTGAGGTGCCTAAAGTTCGAAAGTTGGGCTGCAAGCTCTCATCTTCCATGGTACTATGTATTGTTAGATGAGCATGTACTATACTTTTCATGGTACTCACTTTGTTCAAAAATGGTAGCGGTTACAATACCTGGAAGTAGTTATGTGTGTGTGTGTGCGTGTCTGTGCTTATGTGTACCGTTCATATTTGTTCAATTAATTTACTGATGTGTTGCATTTACTTAATCATAAAGCTTAGTAGCAATAGTAAATGCAATTATGTTGCGCTAGCCCCACCAAGACCAAAACACAGTCTGTATCCATATATGGACGCATGTCTAAACCTTTTTTTGCAAATAATATGCGCACAAAGATCTACACATATGTGTCTTTGCAAGAACTTAACAGCTGTGTTGTTTTAATATAAAAACAAAGAACATCGCGACTTTGTGAACCTGTGGTTCAATTAATGGTGTAAACACTATATCTCTTGATCTGCAAACATGGTGAACAATAACTTGTTAACCGGTAAGAATCATGCTTTGGTTATGTGTTTACACACAAAATATGAAGCATTGAAAAAGCCTTGCTTTGGCGGATATGTTATACTCCAAATCCTGCGCGCCTCAGGATCATGCATTGGGCATGCCGGCTAGAAGCGTATGAAATCGGAAAGAATACATACCGGCAACCATATCATTGTGATACCAGTTGCAATTGCAATAAAACGGATCTTTTCGGAACAGCACCGGGGTGACATGGAAAAAACAACTTCGTAAACGTGCCTTGCAATGAGGGCCAAGACGCTTTCTTCCATCGCAGGCAACTTCCACACCAGTCTGTCCTTGCATTCAGTGAAACGTCGAGAAAACCGAGTCACGCAGGCGAGGCCTGGTACACATCCCTCAGCATCTTCATCAGCAAGATCACGAAGGCCACCACAAGGATCCCACAACTCAAGTGGAAGTTCGAGTTGGCACCGGGCATGATGAACATGGAGAACTCCGGGAAGGGGAAGCTACTATCATGCTTCGAGGTGGCCGCCGTCTCCCCCGTGAGATGGGCGACGTCGGACATCAGCTCCGCGCGATACCACAAGATCAGGATTACCATGGCATAGACTCCCCTGAAGCGGTCTCCAAGAGATGGGGCAACTTCTCGAGGCTTCTCGCTGCGCTCGGAAGCCGTAAGAAGATACAAGGGGTTGTTGGCGAAGATGAGCAGCGGGATCTGAAGAAGGAAATTTGGACCCATCACAAGATAAACGGTCACATGGAAGGAGATGGCTGCGAGGCAAAAGATCAAACGCACTGCTGCTTGCGTCGGGCCCTCATTAGCGCTCAGCATGGCAAGCAGCGGAAGAACCAGTTCTACAATGAGATTGCCTGGGTCCGACGTCGCACTGGAGAACAAAAAAGCTACATACTCACCTAGCACTCTTACTCCAAAACAGCCCAGAGGAAAAGCATGCTGCAAAAAAAGTGACCGCTCTCAAAGCCAGGTTGCCCCAAGACATCAATGTGAAGGGCCAAGGAGTCGAGCCCAAGATAGCTGGAGCCGAGCTCATCCAGCTAGCGATGCCAGCTGGTAAAACTGCCTTGAATTCCCCCAGCAGCCAGTGCCCGGAAATGTTGCTCCAAAGCCCTTCGTATCTTAGCTTCGTTACGCCTGCGAAGAAGTAATATGGCACCAGCACATCCAGAAGCGCAAATCTCCGGAGCCACGGCCCGGCAAGAGGATTGGTCTCCAGGAAGGGGACGGCAAACATTGCGGAGAATACAAACCAAATGGTACCTTGGCAGGAGTGATGTCCCGAGTACATAATGCCAACTAGGGCAAAGTACACGTAGACCAGAGCTCCACCCATGTAGCTGGCCGCTACGCTTCGTTGGTAGCCTGCCTTTGGTAGGACGAGGAAGATGCACCAGGAAACCAACAAGATCCGGCGCAACACGACGAAAAAGGCCGCCCATCCGTGGACATTGGCTTCGAAGTTTGGCATGAGCCACTCTGCCAATGGAGGCGTTAAGGGTCGGCGGGCTGGATAGCTCCGTTCCAATGCAAGGAGCTCAGGGGCGGCTAAAGTGCAGCTGCCGGCCAGCGGCAGGGCCAGGAGCTCCAGGATGAGCAACATGCAGACATAAAGCTTCATGGAACCTAAGGGTTCTGAAAGGTTCGGCGGCATCCACCACCAGCGACACCACCCATCCAAAGGCCAGAAAAACTGCGACCATGGCCCCAACGCGTGTGCCGAGGCTGAAGCTTCCGGCTTCGCCACATCTTCTGGTGACTTCTGGTCGCCGTTCACAGCCCTCCAGCGGGAAGCAGATCCATGATTCAAGCAAAAACCGACGATGAACAAAGCCAGAACCAACATGGCCAGAAGCGCTCCCCCAATGAAACCTACTGACGCGTACATCCTGGCCGAGGCCAACAAAGAGATCTTATAACCCATTGGCCTGGTGCTGCTGCAACGGGCTGGGAAAAGCTTGCATATCGGCATCTTCCGCAATTGGTCTTGGCCCTGATCCCACGCAGCGGTCAAATTCGAATCAAAAGCTTCTCCAATCCAGCTGGACATGTTGCCCCGTTGAACCTGGCGACTTGCATCTGCTTTCGCCACAGCACCCTGCCGCATGAGGAATGAGACCAGATCCAAGGGACTTTCGCAAGATGCTGAGCTAGGACCATCAGAGACAGCATCTGAAGCAGTCGCCAGGCGCCAGGTGAAACAAAACAGCATGCCGAAGGACCACCGACCGCGAGCCATGGCTTTGATGGATTGTGCCTGAGTGTCTGTGAGCTGAACGCCCAGTGATTCATGTAGATCTCATGGGTTGCTCTTCAGGTTTAAACCAATCCGCCGCATCCGCATTCAAAGCAATTGATGCACGTCGTGATTTTCTGGCCCACAGTACTTTTGAACCAACACTTCAGAAGCATATGCCGCTCAACCCCGGCCGTTCCCTGACTTCTCAAACGCCTTTGGTGAGATCCTGTAGGTGAATCGTCTCAGTCACAAGAACAACCTAGAACCTTTTGGTCCACCTCAACAGTTGCTCGCCCTTCACAGAATAAGCAAGGATTGTTGTAGATTGGGCATTGTGTCCCACTGCTTTTGTTTCTTTGAATATTTTGCTTGTTTGTTGGTTGGACTCTTTTCTGTTCAGTATAATTTCAGTTCGTGCCTTTCGGAGATGCTTGCCGGTGGTCAACCACGAAAATGTTTGCTTCTCCCAAAAGGTGCACATTTCCTCTTGCCAAACAGGGTTCCTCAAAGGATGCATACCCCCAACTTGCGTTGCCCTTTGCTGGTGCCCTTTGCTACCCAAAGCCACCCAAAACCCCTGCCCCCCCCCCCCCCCGGGACCCCGAAACCTCGGTCCCTCGCCCCTGCCTCGGCCGCCTCCTCCGTCTCGGCGTGTGCCGCCTCGGCCTTGGCGTGCACGGCCGCCGCCTGGAGATAAGCGGAGGGAAGATTCTTGCGCCAGGTTCCGGCCGTTTGGTGGGAGGGTATTTGCCACGAGCTCCGGCACTCAAAATATGAAGACAATCCTTTTTAACCCCCGCCCAGTTTGGAAAATGGATGGCGTCATTACGCTACCTGGGGACTTGATGCTAACATGTGTTCTATCCCGGAGGCTGGTTTAACTATGATTGGGGCGGGAGTTGGTCTTTCGCTCCCATCCAATGAGGATTTAAATGTGTTTGTGCCTGGCCCGTAGCTCCTTCCATATTCATGGCCAGGCTGTCCCCAGGTTGGAAAATGGATTGAAAAAGCATCAGGTAACATGCAGGCTCCTCAAATCTCCCCTTTAAACAAAACATCCCCGCCCCCCCCCGCCTCCCCGCCCCCCCACCGACAGGACTTCCCCTAATCAAAACCCAACGCTGCAGCCCGGAGTTGTGGGAATCGCCTTCCCTCTTCTGTGATACTGCAAAACCTTCCAAGGACACATTCCACATCGAGAAACGGTTCCCTTGCAGCAGGACCCGAACCCCTCGATTCGTCAATGGGGGGGAAGTCACCTCTATATGGTCCGGCTCTGTTCTGGAGTTTGAACCTATTGTGGGGTCGCCAAATGGAGACCACTCGTTTTGGTGGTTCCCCGCAACCCGACCATCGTCAGCAGGCTGAAGAGGCGTGACTCTCTCACTTCAGAATCAAGGAGAACAAAACAAACAAATATATTTCATTCATTCAACCCCTGTTGGCGCTACACCGTAAACCGAACAAAAGTGAGCTCAACAAACAAGCACCAAAAAGCCAAAACCAAGCCGCAACACATGTGGGTTTCTCTCCGGGTGAAACTATGAAACCCGGGCCCCCTTTTCAAACATCCCCCGGAAGGCTAGCAACTCCAACTCCACGTGGCATCCCGGCTGCGCCAGGTTTCGGTTGCGGACCTTCCCCGAGAAATCATCACTCGCTTGAGTGACCGAAAGCTGGCACTGGCCAGCGCCAACGCTACCTTGCCAGCCCAAACCTCAAGCAAAGGTTTCGCGTCCAAGGAGCGCGGTTTGAATAAACCCATCCCAAGGGGGGGGGGGGGGGGGTAACCCGGGGGGGGGGGGGGATAATACACCCATTTCAGGGGGGGGTGGGGGGGTTGAGACGTCATGACAGCTTCCAGTCATCCTGCTCGCGCCTGCTCCGGTGAGAGGGGATCTGAGGGCTGCTCCTTCCGAAGGGCTGCCAGCAGGTCGTTGAGCATGCCCTCGGATGCGCCCATCGCAACCTGGTTGGTCCAAGCCTGGGGATAAGCCTCCTCTGAACATGCGAGGAGTTTTAAGCCATCCAATTTGGCTCCCTGAAAATGTGGGGAACTTTCGGCCAGCCGAACTCCACCAGTTTGGGGGGATAAGCCAGCGAGCCGCATGGGGTTCAAGCGCCGTACAGCCTCGCTCCGTTTGGAAAAGCTTCAGGGGTTCGGCGCCTCCAGAGCGGCATCCCCACTGGTGGCCACAGGGGCGGGCTCCTTCTCCTGAGAGTCGTTTTGTTTTTTCCCCTTTCTTTCTTTCTTTCTTTCTTTCTTCCTTTTCTTCTTTTCTTCAGTTCTTTCTTTCTCTTTTTTTCCGCAACCAATTCAACCTATCGTCTCAAAGATAACTGGGGATCTGTGATGTCCACATCCACGCCAAGATGAAGCTGGAACTCATTGACGGAGCTGGTCGCTTTTTCTTTTCGCCGGTAACTAGTCGCTTCCCTGAGTTGTTTGGCGAGCCACCTGGACTTTTGTTCTATGTGGAATCGTGAATCCGAAGTCAACATTCCGGTCATTTGCAGGTTCAAGCGGACCCAACCAATCCACAGGTTGCCGAGGACAAAAATCCTCAGCACGGGCCTCCCGAAAAACGAAGCAACAACATAAGGTCAACTCATACAAGACAGTGGGGTTTGGACCAAATCCCACCTAACCGTCCTGACTCTGCAGGGTCGCACGCCACCCAAACGGGATCTTTACGGAAAACAATTTTCCGTGGGTTCCATGCTGCGGGCAGGAAGGTAATCGACCAAGCGACAAGCAACCAACGAGCCAGAATGACAACCAACCAGCCGGCCAACGAACCAAGCAGCAACCGACCGACCGCCCCGACTAACCTATTCCCTGTTTGTCGTTCTTTCTTGCGGTTGCAGCATGATTGACCTGTTGTCAACTTGTTTTTCTGTAACGGATGCAGCTTGAGCATCCACCACCTTGCCGCGGACAGACCCTAAACCCTAAGACAAGGTAAGGGCGAAGAATCCAAAAAATCCCCCACACAAAAAACTGCACGTACTGGCAGCTCGGCAAAAGCTGTGTTCTTTCTTTGTGCCTCTGAGGCTGAGCGGTGAAGCAACAAAGCGAAAAGCCAAGCCATGGCATGCGAAACGCGTTTGCGAAGGGCTCTACACATCAACCCATCGGTTCCTGCGGCTCTCCCTTCTCTTCATTCTCTTTGGCCATCTCGAACAACCTGGCGCTGGCAAGCGTCTGGCGATTCCCGTCCAAAGATGTTGGGATCTGCACGCATGATGCAACTAAAAGTTTGCATGTCCCATCGGCAACTGATGTATCCGGCCACTACAGAGACACCTAGCACCAAACAAATCAAAAGAAAAGAAAGCAGAGGAAGGAGGTGATGATAGCACATTGATTTCACCACCCATGGACAGGATCCAAAGGTACTGGGGACCTTTCGCTCAAATCCACCGTGCTCACCGTGCCCGAATCCACCCTGGGCCTCTGTTTGAAGACTTCTTGCTTCAGCTCCATGGCGCGGAACGACACTGGTGGATACCCTACAGCTTGGGGCGTCGCTTGGTTTCACAAGCCCTTGCGCTCAGAATGTTGCGTCGATTCCCGCCTTTTCTGAGAGAAGGCACTAAAACACCCCGCCGCACCGGGTGAAAGCTGGAGCCCGGGGCGGTGGAAAAAATGTTTTGCCGGGCGCACATGGGTGCCTTGAAAAAACTCGGGCAAGCGGGAAAACTCAAACCAATGGCGACCACCTGTTCCCTCAGCAAAAGGTGTTGCAAGGCTCTGAGACTCGCGCATTCGGGTGAGTCTTTGTTGGCGTTAGCCTTGCTGGTTCCCTGTTCTGAGACAACCCCACTGCCCCTAAGCTCAAAACCGGGCGTCTCGATCATCCCAAGCTCCGGGATGGGATCTCAAAGTACACGGGGGGCGTGGAAGCGTCCCTTGGGGCCCAAAAACATCTGGAGATCCCGGCTCCTTGCTCCCCAAACCTGGCTAAAAGGGCCCAGCGTTGTACCAAGAGTGGTGGCCAATTGGGCAAGACCTGGGCGTCGCAGCTTTTGCCTCAGCCTGCGCCGGAATCCTCCCGCAGCCGAGTCCAAATGAGGCCCCAAAATCCCGCCTGGCGTGTTGAACGGCCAAACGGGCGACCTCGCCAACAGCCCTTTGCCGAAGCAACTTGTTTGGCTGACTCGCTGTTGCGTTCCCATTTAACCCCGGGACTGTTTGGCGTTTGGCTCTCAAGTCCGCCTAAAAATGCGGCATGTTGGACACAAGAAATGCTCCTTACCTGTCATCCCTCTCCCTGTACCACTGAATCATGTCCACACGAATCCTTTCCTACAAGGATGCGGGAGACAGATGCGAAACCGTGGGGTCTTCGATTCCCCCTCGACAACTGTCCAGCATGCTCTGCATCACCCAGATCAGCATCAACAACATCAGACCTTCCCCAAATTCCCGAGGAAATTGCAAACCCCCCAGCTATTACAGACGCAAACCAGAGGTCCTTACTCAAGTCCTGCCGGGGCTTCCTGGAAAACATGGTCAAACGCAAGGCCCTGCTCCTGTCTTTCGGGAACCTTTCCCACACTGAAGGAAACCAAGGGAAAACGTGCGTCGACCCTTGGGAGACCTTGAAGCTCAGAGCAACCGATGGCTCTTGGGCGAAGAATACCCCATTTATCTCTTGGTTAGGCACAGCGCAAATCCCTTGCTAAAGAACATATCTGGACCCATGGGACCTCAAAAAACCATACCGCTCAAGCTTCGGAGCTTGGGCTATCCTTGCGCCCATGCAAACGGACATCTACGGGCAGCTGCAGCCAGGGAAAAGACCATGAAGAAACAAAGGCGAACCAAAGGTCCCTTCTCGAGTCTGGATTACATCAGTGGCGCCCCCGATCATCACTTCTCAAAAAGGTGTGCTTGCATCAGTCGCACCCCGCCAATCACGTGTGGTGACCTGTTCAATAAAAGGGGGAGGTTGCAAACAACAACTACACACGTCCCCAGGTAGGGAAAAGAAAGTGAAACAAACGTAGGCAAAGCAAAGGTCCCCTCGCTGGACCTTTCCAAACAAAAAGCACGCAAACAAAAGAAACAACAAGAAGAATCAGCAGGAAACAGTTTGATTGCATCTGTAGCACCCCCATCCATCACTTCTGGAGACCTGCCCGAACACAAACGAGGAAGCTACAAACGAACGAACGAACAAACAAACAAACAAACAAACAAAAACAGCACACATCCCCAACTACGGAACAAACGGAAGCAAACCAAAGGCCCTACTCAAGTCCTCCGGACCTTTCCAAGAGAATCAAAAGCGTGAGCAAGAAAGGGCCCATCCATCGCTTCTGGGGGCCTGTCCCAAAAAACTAGAAGCATCAGGAGGACAGTATGGCTACAACAGTAGCGCCCCCATACATCACTTCCGGGCACCTTTCCCCCAAACCCCCTCCCTTGAGAAAAAAAAAGGACGGAAGGAAGAAAGACAGAAAGCCAGAAAGGCAGAAAGACAAAACGACAGAACGACAGAACGACAGAAAGACGGAAAGACGGAAAGACATAAAGACAGAAAGACAGAAAGACAGCAAGACGGAAAGACGAAAAGACGGAAAGACATAAAGACAGAAAGAAAGAAAGAAAGAAAGAAAGAAAGAAAGAAAGAAAGAAAGAAAGAAAGAAAGAAAGAAAGAAGAAAGAAAGAAAGAAAGAAAGAAAGAAGAAAGAAAGAAACCAACCAACCAACCAACCAACCAACCAACCAACCAAATCAGCCAACCAACCAACCAACAACCAACCAACCAACCAAACAAGCAAACAAGCCAACAAGCAAACAAGCCAACAAGCAAACGAGAAAAAGGCAAAGCAAAGCAAAGCAAGCAAGCAAGCACGTGTTCAAGCAAGCACGTGTTCAAGCAAGCAGGTGCTCAAGCAATGCAAGTGAGCAAGCGCGCACTCAAGCAAGCCAAAGCCAAAGCCAAAGCCAAAGCCAAAGCCAAAGCCAAAGCCAAGCAACCAAACAAGCAAAAGGCCCTTTCCGAAATCAAGGTTTCTGAGCGCGCTGCATCTGTAAGACACAGGCCTGTAACGTCTGCCGGAGGCATTGGAGTGTTCTGGCATACTCCCAAGAGGAAAACGGAAAGATATGAAGGGGCTACCTTGCACGTTCGCCTACTGCAACGACCCAAATACGCTAGCCTGGAAGCTTAAAGAAAAACCTTCTGGTGGTGGCTTGAGAGGTCTGCAAATTGGCGGGCTCGTATTTGCTGGTGGCTTGGAATTGGCGGGCCCATATTGGCTGGTGGCTCAATGGAAGACAGGAGCAACAGGAAGCCAGCCAAGTAGCAACCACGGAACTTCAAAAATGACCTATCCTAACGCAGTACCTGAGAAGAAGGTGAAGTGGGGCATGATGCAGAAGCATCTTCAAGATCGGCTCACACTTTGTTCTTTCCAAGGGCAAACGGAAGCAGCATCCAACTATTTTTCCCTCCCAAGCCCCCAAAGTTCTCACACTCACGGACGCCCATCCCCACCTTGCCCGAGCTCTCGTAGCGCCAGCCCAAATGAGCTTCGCAGCCTCGGCACGCCGCGAGGCGCCAGGCGTAGCCTGGGCCAACGTCTAACCGGTTGAGTTACTCGCTGCTCGGTTTGCTCCTTGACTCCTGTCTTCATGGTTTGCTGGTTTGTTGTTGCTGCTGGCTTTACAACTGAAAACATGTGTTTCGCTACACCAGGGCGAAAGAAAAAAATGCAACTCGCGGTAGGTGTGGGTAAGTAGAGGGAACGACTAAGCTACAATTGTCGAAGTGTGCCATGGAGCCTTGTCGAAATGAGAGGAACCGGCCATAGTTTTCACAACCCCCCACCTGCACGAGAAGCGGCTTATGACAAATGCCTTTTTGGGGGGCCTTCACCATGTCCCAAGATACTCTTTGTATCTCTTTGTGGTTTCCCTTCAAAAGGCTCAGGTCTCTCAACTACTTTTGGGGTTGCTTTCCCTTCCAACTTCAAACCACAACTTGGAAGATCCTTTTTTCGGACGTCAGTCACTTGATTGAACCCACCCACCCCTTCCCCTTCCCCACCACAGCCAAACCCCATTGTTCCAACAGACTCGGTTCGGCTCCTCGACTCTTCGGCTCCCCTTTGCAACTTTGCCACAAGCTCCCCTCGGTTGCTTTCTGCTCCCCTCTGAAAGCTTAACTTTTAGTGGTTCAATATGGAAAACCCATTCGTTGGCAAAAAGTTAACGTCCTAACATCCAAGCAAACTTTCACCGAAGCTCCCCATGGGCCTGGGAACCAGGTGTCCGCCAGCGTGGCCGGGCCCACGAGATCGGCGCAGGCCTGGCTGAAGGCGCCGATGTGGAAGAGGAAGCCGTGGGGATTGAAATGCCTCGGCTTCGGTCCAGCCCACGTCGGCCAACCAAACGAACCCACCCACGATTCGAAAAACATCGACCAAACAAACCACCCTCGAAATGCCGGCTTGAAAATCTCGTGCAGGAATCGGGTTCAGTAAAATCGTCCGGAACCATGCTTGGTGAACTGGTTCATGGAAACTTGGACGTGAACATGAGTCTCTTGTCTCTTGGTTGAAACAGTTGAGAGTTCCCTTGAAGTCCCGATCGGGTAGAACTTTTGAAGGCTAACAAAAGGACTCCCCGATTTGTCCCGGGTGCTTTTTTAGTAGATGGGGGTTGGCGGGGAAATTACGCAACTTGCCGCACATCAAAAAATGGGCCGGGGGGGGGCCTTGTGGATGTTCACTCCCTACACATTGCATACCACTCACCAGCAAGCATGGAACTGCGCTGACCCCCTTGGAAGATGTTGCCCTCAAAATTCATAGCCAGCTCAACAAGAAGGCAAGAGTGCCACACAATTGGGATGAATCAAAACGTGGGTTCAGGCGTGGTCACTGGCAAAAGCAGCGAAACTCAGTCCTCTAACAAAGAACCACCAACCTCACTGGGTTGCTCCTAATCCCTAATCCGCAGTGGGACACCACTACAACAGAAACCACGACCATCTGGCATAGGTGTTGAACAACTCCAAACTAAAGTCATTCTGAAAACCGCTACCGTCAAGCATAACGATTCAGTATCCTGCCGCCTGTCGAGAACCCCAAGTCCTAATTAGGCGCTTCTTTCGGCTTCCCACCAGCCCAAACGGGGCAACGGGGCAGGCCCTATGATGGGCACTGAGTCTACGTTGCAACCTCCTTTTTCTGGATATTGGCTTGGGGGTTCTTGACTCGAAAGTAGTCTCTAAGTGCCCATCATAGGGCAAACCCCTCCCCCCTTTTCGGCTGGTTGGCCGTAAAAAGCAAAAATGCCTCCAAGACTCCATCCTATGCAACCCCTCCCCATTCTTGGTGCAAAACGTCTCCAAGCGTTCATACTGTGGATGGACGAAATCCTGCACCACACAAAAAACCCTGCAAGGATGATTCCGCTGTAAATACCAACAAACAATGGTTTCAACCATGGTTCAAAGTGGTGCAGGACTTCGTCCATCCACTGTAGCACCGCTTGTTTTGCCCCGACTCCACGACTCCCCAACGGCACGCCTGGAGCTGCCGGTGTGGTGCCGCAGCTCCGCCACCCGCACGCCGCAGGCCCGGCACCGCAGCGACGCCCCGACGAGCTCCTGGAGAGCGAGCCGCTCCCAAAAGGGGCAGCGGCCGCTTGTTGGAGGAGCCTAGCCCTGGACGCCATATGGGTATGGCTCAAAAAACCGGTACCAAAATGGAACCCTGGTAAGTGGAAACATGGACCAAAACCTGCGTAACCCAGCTCTGTATTTGTGAGCCCTAAACCGGAGCAGATCTTAAACCCTTAGACCCTAGACCCTAGACCCTGCACGTTGCACCTGGTCCTTAAACTTGTGGCTCTTGACACAGGAACCCTTGCAGAGACACGGGGTTGAGGAGTGCCCTAGACATTGTTTGTTTGGGGGGGGGGGGGGGGAAGGGGTCCCCCAAAAGAAGACACGCCCAACTGGACCAATTCAAAAAGGTTCCCTTGGTACTACAAGAACGGGGCCGATCCTTGTTTTCCCCACTGCTCTCCTGTTGGTTTACTTTGGTTGGTTCCACATCTGTGGGCCGTTGTCTGTTTGTGGACCTTCTGTCAGCTCATGAAACCAAAAAACAAAACAAAAACTATGCCAAGCATTAAGCCAGGTAAACAGAACATGATGTGTCGTGATTCTGTTCTACATTCAGCCTACCCTAAACCCTAAGATCGTTCTGGAGGAGGCCCCCAAGTGTTGGTTGATAAAGGCAAAACCCGAAAAATCGACTAACCTCTGTCCTTGTTGCTGTTTTGGAGAGGGGGGGGGGGGGGGGGCGTTTTTTTTGGATTCCAAGATCCTTTGCTGCCACCTGCGCTCACTCCATCCTCCAGCCGCTGCCGCTCAGCTTCCACTCCTAGAGCCTCCGGCTTTGTCGCCGCCGCCGCGTGGATGGCCTAAACTGAGCTGCGGGCCATGGTGAAGGCCGTGGAAATCTGAGCAACTACCACAAGTAACGCTAACCCCGGATCTAAGTAGAACCCCTGGTTGATGAATAGGGGGGTGTCCCCTTGTAGAGGACGGGTTTATGAATCCTGGGTCAACAGTAGTGATTTCAGGGTCGGAGCTCATGCGGGGTGGGCAGCTCCCTGACATCTAACCATTTTGTTTTCCAATTGTAACATGCGTCTGACTTACGCAACCCCTTCCCCTTCTGTTGGATCCATTTGTGGCCGTCAACTTGGTGGATGAAAGGATGCGCAAGCTGCAAGCTGCAAGCCTGCGACCTCGAAGTGTGGGAGCCACTTGGGCGCGCAAAACCCACTGCCTAGGCCCCGGGCACTGGAGCAGGCCCTCCTGGGCCAATCTCACGGCCATCACAACTGGAGCCTCTCAAGCCCAGCAAAGCCTTCCTGTGATTCCGGTACATTCACTGTCAAAGAATTCCCGGCCCCACTTTCCTCTGCCACAAAAAACTTCCGAAGATGGCGCTGGCGTTTTGCCATCGCTGGCCGGGTCCGGAACAAAATTGGCCGCGGCAGATGAAGAAACCCGCCCAGCTGGCCTGCGTGCTCGGGCTCGGCCATGTTGCACGCTGCCTCGGCCAGCCGCGTTTAGCATGCTCCGGGATCCTGTTTCAAATTAAATCATGGACAATGTCCTTGGAGAAGAACCTGAACATCTTTGTCTGGCCCCACCAAATGGGCATGGCCGACCAGAGAAGCTTTCAATCACAGAGAACTGTCGTAATCACAATCAACAATCGAACTAGGCACTTGACTTCAACAAATCTATCAGCAACCGTGGCTTCAACACCATGTCAGTTTCACAGGTACACCTTGGACACTGCAAACCTGCACTTCATCTGGGCACCCGGCTTGCGGTGGCCAAAGCTGCCTCAGCGCACTTTCAAACCAGTGATTCTTGCAGCTTCCTGACAATCCTGCTACATGCTGCAATTCTGGCGAGCTTCCTTCAGGGCAGCCTGCCCCAAACGAAAAAGGGCCCTTCTTATGCAAAGGCCCCGGCGCTCACGCCGCACACCGCAGCGCACTGCCGCGTTCTCCCCCCCAGCCGCCCAATCGCCCGGCCCGGGCCCGGGCCCGGAGCGCGTGCGGGGCATGGGAAGTCGGCCAGGGCAGTCATGGCCGCCATCCTTCGCCCTCTGAATAACGACCGAGCTGGCGGGGTTCAATTCGGGGTGTCTTTCTTTGAGGATTTCCCTTATGGTTGGTTGCATCGGGGGACCAAAAGCAAAACCACATTTTTGGGGACGCCCATATTGAATGTTGCTCTCCCATGTTGAAAGAAAATGCATCGTGGCTGCGCATTAGGAGGCCCCCACACTCACCAGAACGGCTGCCAGCAACGCGCAATTGAATCTATTTGTTTCACCGGCCGCTGCAAGCCAAGAATCTACACGATTTCCAACAGTCGGAGGGGGGGAAAAAAAACTCGACTCTTCAAACACCTGGTAAACGATCCCTTGCAACAAGGCAGCCAAAATGACAACCAAAATGCGAGACATCCAAAATGAAAAGATGCCCTTGACGATGACGCGCGAGCCATTTTTTGAGGAAATGGTTTCATTTTCATTCGGCATCGGCCCAGTCATCCGCCTCGTCGATGGCAAGCACAACAAGGCGACACCGCTGGGAGGGCGCCCGCTGAGCTTTGGGGGGGGGGGCTGGGCTCGTGCTTCTGAACGCATGGCATAGGTGTCCCTTCTAGCGTTGGTTGGATTGAACATAAATGAATTCGCCTGGTTTCAATTTGGTTCTAGTGATCTAACAGTGCCATCTATTGTTTCCTAAAAAACACCTATGATCAAAAGAGGGTCACTCAAAATCCGCATCCAAGTTTGTCGCCTGCGCCGCTCGAGTCATAGCGGCCGAGTCGCGAAGGCCAGCGAAGCTGCTGCGCACAACCGGTGGACATACGCACTTCGAAAAGCAGGGCCTTGGGCGCAGGCCAAGCAGGCGAATAAAAAAGGCGCCCTGTTCCACAAGGGGGGCCCTTTTGCAACGATCTCGGACGACAGGAACGCCGACCAGCGCAACAATGGCGGCAGCCGTGGCGGAGCGGAAGGGAAGGGGGTTTCCTCGCCCCACCGGCCTCCGACCTTAAGGGCGACGACAACGAGGCGGCACCGGTGGGCCCGGATAGGCGCGCTCCTTCCGCAGGCGGGCTTCAACGAGCGCCGCGCCACGAGCGCGCCCACCACGCCAGCGAGGCCGGCCGGCCAAATCCAGGGGACACGAGAGTTGTGTCAACAGCAAGCTGGGCGCCTGGGAACCCTCGAGGAGCTCAGGCCAGGACGGCGGGCGCGGGCCAGACACGGCGAGCGTGGCGGCTGAGGCTGACCGCAAGCATGGCACGCAAGCTGCCAAAGAGCCGAGGCCCGACAACACCTGCTGCAACAGCTCGGGCGCTTGTCGTTGGAAGCTGTCAGCCCACAACGCCCAGTATGCGGCGTGCGCGACCGCCACTGCCGACGACCACCAAAACGAAAGGGCGTACAAGCGGTTGAGGGAGACAGGGGGCCGGCTTGGAGAAGCGCCGACAAGCAATCCCCCATGTGGCGACATTGGGGCCAGGGCAAAATCGACCGTGGAGTCGGGCGGCAACAGACGAAGCACATGGATGGACCGGGGCGAGCAGCAAAACAACAACAAAAGCCACGAAGCTTGAACAACTTCCAAGCCCAGAATGTCCGCCAAAGCGCGGAGCTGCGCCGCAACGAAAGGGGCCGACCCAACAGGCACGCCGAGCGCAAAAAGGCCTTGTTGGGAAGGGGCCAAAGACCGCGAACCAACAAAAACGGGATGAGAACCGAGGCCAACTCAGACACGCCAGGTGGCTCATGCCCAGTTGCGTTCCAGACCTTGGTTTTGCCTGCGTTGAGACGGATGTGCGCGTGTCGCCACGCGTCCGAGAGCATGTCGAAAATCGGGCGGATGCGGTCCGGACGGGCAATCACGCACACATCTTCAAAAAGGCCAGAAGCAACTCACTGGGCGCCAGCCGGGCCTGAACCTCCGCCAACGCGGCTCGTTGGCCCAGAGCGAATGAGGCGGGCATGAGCGGGGCGCCTTGTTCTCCGCCCTCGGCTTGGGTGACGGCGTGTGGTTGACCAGCCGCATCGTGCCACACGAACTCCAAAGGCGAAGCGTAAAACTGGAAAAGGAAAGCCGTGACGGCGGTGTGATGTCTGACTCGCACTCGCAAAATTTGGTATCTCGCAAGGTTGCCCTTTGTCGCCGTTCTCGTTTTCGATGGCGATGACGATTTTAATTTCAGATGCAAATTTGGACTTACAACTAAAGCACGGCCTCCCCACCAAGAACACCCCAGTGAGTGAACTCATGTATGCAGACCACACTTTGGTGGTAGCCGCCGATGCTGAAAAGACGGGACAGTACATGACGTGCATTCAGCGGGCTGGCCGCGCCTACGGCATGGCACTGAACTGGAGCAAGGCTATGGCCCTGCCAGTGCGCTGTGAGATCGAAATCGACAAGCCTGCTGACGGCACGCACGTCCAGTGTAAGGAATCCCTGTGCTACTTGGGTTCCTTGTTCACGGCTTCGGGCTCTATCGCCCTCGAGCTGAGCAAACGAATTGGCGCTGCAAGAGCCGAATTTCACACACTGAAGCGCATTGTGCACATTCTTCGTTGAGCATTGGTAAGAAGATTCGTATCCTACATGCCTGCGTTCTTTCAAGACTTCTTTCCTGTTTGCACACAGCTTGGCTCAAGGAGGCCGATTTGCAGAAACTCGACGCATTTCAATCCATGTGCCTGCGACAAATACAGAGCATTCCGCATTCTTACATCAGCAGAGTCTTTAATGCTGAAGTTCTACGCAGGGCAGGTGAGCACCCGGCTTCCAAGACTTTACTATTGTTGGCTCGGATCACCGCTCTTCCCTTTGAAGACGTGAGGAGGAGATGCATTTTCCAAGGCGACAGTTTAGAACCTTTTTTTTTCTCCACGCCTTTTTCCGCCTGCTCAAGTCAATCGAATCCCCCAAAATCCCACAGCGGTGAGACCGGGGGAAAACTACGCGCCCGGCGCCCTGCGGGCGTCGGACAGCACGTCGCCCTCGGGCGGCGCGCTGGCATACACGGCCAGCGCGCTGTCGATGGGCAGCTCGCAGAAGCTGCTCGCGAACGCGGTTTGGGCCGCAATCGCGAGCATCTGCCCCCACCTGCGCACGTACGCGGCCGCGACCGCGCCGCGCTGCGCCGCGGAGCTGGCGAGAGCCCGGCCACCGGCGAGCTTCTGCAGGAAAGCCTCCGCCTCTTCTCCCCAGCGGCCGCCAACTTCTGCAGCGAAAACGATGAGGCGGCAACGCCGCGCCCCCTGGAACTCGGGGAAAGTGGCGCGACGCTTGCGCTCGGTCACCTCCCGTAAGGCGAGGCCAGGCTCAGAGTCAGCCCGTGGGCGGCTGCTGCCGTCACGCCGGCGGGGGCTCACAAGCGTGACGTCAACTGCGACCTGGATTCCTCCGAAGGCGGGAAGGCCATTCGCGACAACCTCCAGCCGGCGCCCGTCAGAAACGGGCACCCCCAGGTTCAAGTCGCGAAGGGCGACGTTGGTCGCAACCCGGGCTCCCGCCTCATAGCAGACCCGTGCCGCAGCGCGCTCGAACGGGCAAGCGCGCCGGACCAGGACCCCCGCGGTGGCGCAAGCAGCGCGGTGGTCACCGAGCCCGTCAGTTCCCCGCCACAACGGCACAGCCGCGACGACAGCGGCAGTGGGAGTCGCAATCGCCGCAGCAGGACGCAGCGGGCTACGTCGTCCGGCATGGTTAAACTCTTCGCGCGTTGGCAAGGTGGTGAGAACAACACTGCCGCCCGACCCCGCTTGAGACAGCAGCAATGCCCGAAACGCCGAATCGAGGTCGGAAAGTAGCGTCTCGAGGGCACGCTGGTCCAAGCAGGAGCACGCGGCTTGCTGCCATCCACGCGCAACGTCCCCGAAGTGGGACACGTCACTTGCCTGCGCTGCGTCAACCAGGGCTGCCCACGGTGGAGCCGCGCAAAGTAGCCTCCGCGTGCGCGGCTGCCCGCGTACATGGCGGGCCCAGAGCACCAGCCAAGCCGGGCAGCAGGGTGGCGCACGCCTATCACCGGCATAGAGTCGGCCCAACATGCCCAGTGAGCCGCGACACGGGACGTGGCTGCGGAGCGGAGGCCCAGCCCCCCCCCCCCGCTCGCCAGAGCGCGAGCTCAGGCAGCACTAGCGGCTCGCCCTGCCCCGCAACAACAGCTGGGACCCTTTTTTTTTTCTTTTTCTGCACGCCTTTTTCCAACGCCGGGTTTTGCCCCCCTCCAGGAAACACCCTTTAAGGGATGCCCCCGGGCACAAGGGGTCTTGGCGGCTGTTTTTTCGGAGGCCAGCTCCTCACGTGCACAAAGCTGGCGATTTATATCCCGGCGGCCCCCAGCCCAAGAGGCCGTCACCGAGGCACACGGCTGCCGGTGCTCGGCGGGCAAGCGGAGTCGGCAAGCAGCGCTTTCCAGTCGGGGCAGGGCCCGCCGAAGTTGGACTGGCCACGCCCCTCCAGCAAGGACTCGGCAAACGAAAGCTGGGCTGCAAAGGAGAGCAGAGCAGAGCACCGAGCGACCAGAGCAGCGCGTAGGGCAGGCGCAGCCTCCCGGGAGTCGGATCGAGCAAGGAGGCGGATGAAGCTTGCAGCCTCCTTGCTCCAGCGGCCACCGACCTCGAGCGCGAGGACGAAAAGCCGGCAACGGTTGGACACGCTCCTTCCGCAACCGTGCCTCAACAAGAGCGACGCCCCGCGCTCGCCCCGCACGGCGGCGGGGTTGGCCCGCAGAGTGCAGGGGCGAAACCAAAGTGGTGTCGACGGCTAGCTGGGAAGAGCGATGCAGGGACAACCCATTTGCAATGACCTCAAGGCGCCGGTCAGTCATCGACAACCACCAGGTTGAGATCGGCCAAGCGGGTGTTGGTGCTCACCCGGGCCCCAGCCTCACGGCACACCCGGGCGGCCGCCCGTTCGAGAGCGCACCCGCGACTCCGCAACAGCCGAACACCCACGGAGCAGCGAAACAGACAGGAGCGAAAGGGGGGATGTTTCTGCTTTTTATACTGGACCGGCCCCCAGTAATGCAGACCCTGGGACGGTCCCCCAAATGCCGTTTTTTTATACTGGACCGGCCC